TTCAAGTGCATACCTCCACCTCTCCAAGTTCTCTTCCACCTGTTCCCTGTTCTCACCACATATCATAATACCATCTTCAAATATCATAGTCCATGGGGATTCCTGCTAGGATTAACGATATGATAACATGCCCATTAATTTTTCATTAAAAATTTCAGGATTTTTTTTTACAGTCATTACAATTAAGTCAGATTTTCTTGCTGTGCCTGCTTCAACATTTTTATACATTTATACCACACAATGAATGAGGTTGTGCGCTACTTTTGTTTTTCACTTACCACTGTGCTAGTAGGCATCATTTTATTTGTTTGTAAATAAATGGTAAATAGACTGTACTTATACAGCACTTTTCTATCTTATCAAGATACTCAAAGTGCTTTGCACTACAATAAGACAATATTATTACGATATAAATAAGAGAAGGTCACTTTCTCTCACCTCCATGTCTTTCTGTGAGGAGTTTGCCTCCCGTTCTCAGGTTTCCTCCTAATCTCAAATATTGAGCATTAAGTTCATAATTCGAAATTTTCTCTAGGTGTGGGTGAGAATGAATGCTTGTCTCATTTGTTTCTATGTAAAAACATATGGACTTGCAACCTGTTCAGGGTTTCTTGCACAGTGACTACTAGAGATAGACACCAGCCCCCCGTGACCAGGAAAGGAAAAGTGGGTAAAAAAAAACATGGAGGATGGATGGATTTATACAGTGAGAAGAGTTTGTGTGGGATAATAGAGAGACAGACAAAGCAGGAACTGTTGAGAGAACGAGAGAAAGAGACCACCAAAATAAACTCTTGTGATGAATGCGCTGCTCCGAAATAGAAACCTCATCCCTCTTTCATCCTGTTTCAACGCGTTATCTCCACTCACTACTTTTCCTTTTCTTTGCTCCATAACTCAAATCATCTCTATCTCACTGTATCCGTCTGCAGCTCCCCACTCTTTCTATCTCGTCCTGTCTCACTCTCAGATAGTGCGCCATCTTTCTAATCAAAGCTGTTCGTTCTTCTCAGAAAACTCTCCGGTGATAGATTTTCCTTTCAGCCTGCGTTGCATCAGGTAAACGCAAACTGCAAGTTTGATGTTTGTCATCAAAAACTTCTCAAACATCGACGTTTTAGTGTAGATCAACAACTCGCATTTGTGGAAACGCAGCAGCAAAATAGTTTATTTTGTTTGGTTTTGCACAATTTACCAAAGCCTCAAAATACTTCTGTTCACTCTTATAAGACTGGCATACTGGTCATGTAGCTCAGATAGGATGAGGAATCTAAAAAGTGTTCAGATTTAAATATATGTTTATGCATTTGTTTGATCGGGTTAATAACTTGCCGTTCCTGACAAGCCATTAAATTAGTTTCGACACACTTGCTGATACACACAATTCAAGCACTTTGTGATGATGTAAAAGATAGCCCTGAATGGGTGCCTCTCCCAAATTAAATTTAATAATCTGACTCAATATTTAACCAAAGAATATCAAGCACCAGTGATGCTATTATCACACATCGGTATCTTTTTTTGCTCTTCTGGCGTTGCTCTTGCTGTCTTTCTTTTTTCCTTTTCTTTTATCCTGTCCTACACGCTCCAATGTGTTTTGATTACTGGCTGTGTGTGTGCGTGTGTATGTGTGTGTGCTTGGAAAGAGAGCAGGATGGGCAGTTTTGGGGGGAGGAAGGATCACAGATGGGCCTTGTCAAATCTCTGTACATCTGGCTTTGTTCCTGTCCAAGTTTACACGCACGCACACAAAGACAAGCAGGTCTATGTTCGGTGTACTTTCTCAGTCACGATCTCCCGACTACAAGAATATCGTACATATATGTGCATTTAAAGCCTTGGACATGCAGCAGACAGACCTTTCCATGCATGCACATTTATGAAGATCAGAGTGCTCAGAAATCCACTTGGACACACACAGATGCACTGTGCAGCAGGACACAGCGGGTATGGACTCCTGTTGTGTTTTTTGGTTGCCAATGTAATGTTGCCAGGGAATCTGGACTATGCCAGATTTGTTGTTAGCCAAAGGCATACCATTGAAAAGATGATGGAGTGCCAACCCTGACTTGTAATATAGCGCCACCTATTGAGCCAAAATAGGTCTCTGAGTTAATTCAATATGGACTTGCTTTATACATTAAATTTACTAATAGGTTGCAGTTCTTGCATAATGTCTATAGTATAAGACCAGACAGAAAAAAACACAACAAAACTATATTTCTATCAGCTTAAATATTATGATGTTAAGAGAAAAACAAAAACAATGACTTATTGCTGAAAACATCTTTTTTTTTAAGTTAATCTCTCATATTTTAAAATGCTACTGGTCTCATCCAAGGGTCAACTTTTGCCTGCATGAGGAAGCTCTGCATGTTTATGTGTGTCAGCTGTTCAAGGTCCCCGTACGGGACGGAGACATATGCTTTGCAGGATTCCTGTGGATACAGAAACACCCACGCAGGCACCTCAAGGACACCCAGAATGGTAGGAAAAGAATGAAGAAGCACAGAGCTGACGAGGACTAACATGCTGACGTGTTTTTAACCGCATGACTAAAATTATCAGATTTTTTTTTTTTTCAAAACACTCGTGAGAATCCACATTCAGACTCCCTTTTTTTTTTCTTCATGTGTTTAACTCTTGAGGATAATAGCCTCCAAAACTTGAAAAACATTTTACTTCTATACTTGTTTTTTTTTTTTTTTGCTTATCTTTCTGAATTTTCAGTGCAAACTTTTATTCATTCAGTCCCCTGTACACCTCATTTGGAAAGGGCCTGAAACAAGTTGGTGTCACTTGTGATGAACTAAATGCATACACAGAGAAATACCACTATCTTCAGTCAACCAAACCTTTTGTCTTGTGCACCATTTTGCAGATATTTTACCATATTTTTCCCCTTTCTCCTACTTTTGGTTGTCTTGTACTTCCTCCACCTCCCTTGTCATTCCTTTATTTTGTTCTTTGCTTGCTATCCTCTGTTCCCTCTGCTCATCTCTCTGCCTTTAAACGTATCCTTCCGTGCCCACGCACCATAACCAAAACCTGCCTGCTTATTCATTTTACACTGAGGTATCAGTTTATTTCTCGGCTCTTATTATTTTTTTTTTTTGTGCAGTCGCCTCAGTGAGACTTGCCCCAGACAGCGATTCTCTGTCCCATCCTCATTATATTTTCACACTCTGCTTCCCTAGGACACAAAAAATACAGATGCACACATTTCCACACAAATTCCCCCTGAATGGGTGCATTTTCTTTGTTTCAGAGTGGTTTTAGTGGGAATGTCTTTGTCCAATCATTGTCATGAATAATGCGTATTCTTATAGCAGTAAGTTGTGAAATGATTAATACATGCATATATACATATCTTCTTATATGATGATATTAATTGTTGACTGGGACTTAAAACACATACATTTTGACACAACGTACTCATTTTGGTAAATAAATGCAGAGCTGATTGTAAAGTTAGTAGTTTGTCAATTAAAGTACTTTGGTTTTTCGTTTTTAGGTTGTTTTAGTAGGTAAAACTCTACTTAAAAAAAAAAAAAACTACTATACTGTTGATAAATAACAGATTGATGAATCATAGATGTCATACATATGGGAGCAGCGGGGGTGTTTAGAGTTTTTTTTTCTCAAAAACATTTTGGCACACTGCAGAAACCAGGGTTCAAACCACCCACCATACGATCTGAGGACAACTTCCTGCCACCAGGTTACAACTTCTCAATAAAAAGATGCTCACCATAAATCATCTACCCTTCACCACAGGCTCCTCATCAATCTAATGTAGCCCAAGAACCAAATGTGCTGTTGTTAGTGTTTGGTTTTAATGCTGAAAAACGTGACACATTAAACACATGATCGCTTTACTACAGTATGCATGAACTTCAACTGTGTATGTTCAGTGACTTTGCAGAGTTTTATGCAGTGGTCAAATCAAAGTTATTTTTAAGCATGAAGGGAATGTTGTGATGGAAGAAATACAAAATATTTGAGTTATTTAATTCTTTTTTCGTAATTTTAATTAAGTGGAATTAATTTAAAACATTCCCAAATAATAAGTAAAAGCCAAAAGTAAAAGGAGAAAACTTTAAATTTTGGCCTATTAGCAAAATAGTTTTTTTTTGAAGAATAAACATCTGATTTTTGCCATAACTATTTGATAATCTGCCAAAATAATTATTTGTGGGTTATGTTCAGCTAATATTTAAACTCAGAAAGGTTCAAATAACTGCGCGAGCTGTTTTGTAGTTCAGCATTTTGTGACATACAATGCCAACTAGCCAAACAGATGGAGGATGAAGATTAGTTTTCAAAATCCCATCACAATATTGAAACTTCATTCCAACTTTGAAAATGAAATACTATCCCCAAAATGCCAGTAAATCCCTCCATCCAAAATCCCAGTGCTGAAGAAAAGTCTGGTAAATGTGCAGGGAAATGAATAAAAAATTGTATGCAAATATATGGAAATAAACTGTCAAAGAGCAATAAGTCATTTTTTTTTAAATATATGCAGCTGTTTTCGTCTTTGAATTGGTGTGAAAAAGTGATGCAATAAATTAAGCTGTGATGCTGAGTCAATCATTTGTATACACAACTGTGAGCTTGTTTTTAATCATCATTTGTCCATGGAGAAAATGTGTTAAAAAGCACCATATATTACAGTCTGTCTGTGTCAGTGGGAAGTGATGCATGTGTGAATATGTTTGTAAAAGCTGATAGATGTGTGTATATGTTTGCATTAGTGTGAACACAATAAATATGGTTTTCAGAGGGAAACAAGCCTTTGATTTATGCCCTTATAATGCAATTTAAATGTACTACCTGGTTTCAGGATGGACATTAAAAGCATTACATTTTTATATAATTATAATGCAATTAATCTTTTTTTCCATCTCATCATTCTTTTTTCTATATCATGTATCTTCTGTCACCCACTTCTTATTATATTCACTCTTTTCCTCCATTGTCATTTTTTCTCATCTCAGTGTCTGACAGCCAAGCAGGAGCAGCAGGGACTGGACCAGGTGGAGGGTCGGACTCATCCCAATCTCGTTTCTCCTCCTCCCTCCCTACTTATCTCCCAGTCCAATGCCAAATAAGTGGAGCTGACTCCGCCTTCTTCTTGCGGGAAGCTAATCAGGAGGTCATGCGAAATGGCAGCCTGTCATTGCGGACTGAGCCTTTCTTTCTTCACCAGCTGGAGCCAGGCATCGCCGCTCCACAGGCCCTGCCGAGTGTCAATTGCAGCTACGGAAATCTGAGCATTGAGCAGCCGATCCCTGTGGAGCTCCTTCAAGGTCCTCAACCACATCTGCTGATCTCAACCAACCAGGTGACGCTGAACTGGAAGGTCAAAGGTCAAGTGGTGGTACCAAAAGTGGGGGCAACAAAACCATGGATCCAGGTATTGGCAATGTTGATAATTTATTATATACATTATATAGCTATATATGTAGCTACCTGGTTGATCCACTATGAGAAGGTGTTGCTTATAAAGGGCCCTGCATCCTCCATTCCAAGTGGCAAAATCAGCTTTCACTGATGGAGTTATGTGAATAAAATGTCATAATTTTCTTCTCATAGCAACTTTGCCTGTCCCTTCTCGACACAAGGCCCAGACCAATCTTTTACCTCACAGGCGTATATGCCAAATATTATGTTATTGGTCAGAAGTTTGTGCGTGCGTTCATCAGTGTGGGAATGCACACAAACATTCAGCTTTATGCCTCTTCAAACACACTAAATTAGTCAAATTGACTAATCTCCTGGATGGAGATTGTGCAGAGGTGTATGGAGGAGTTTGCTGAAAAGTGTGGTGCTTTCTTCATGATAGACTTGTGGCCAAAGGGTGGATGCAGGGATGGAGTGGCAGGAAGAGTCCTACGCAGTGATGCATACTACTGCGGGAGGGGTTTGTCAAGAGTTCTGTGTCTCGTGGACTATGAGAAGTGTTTTTTAAAATGAACATCCAGCAACCACTTGAACATGTGTCAACATGTGTCAGATGGCATGTGCCGATCCCATAAAACTCAGTTTGCTTGCAGATCCTCAGACTGAAGAAGTATTTTGGATAAAAGACAAATTGGTTCAACAAAGACCCCATCCAGAGGACTTGATTCAACCTTGTTAGATTCATCTAGCTTGATTACTGAGCATGCATCAGGACATTAAGTACAATGTAGCATAAATCAATTAAATTTTGTTCTTATATTCTGTTTGTGCATCCGCGTTTGGCAAGAGATGCACATTTTTTGTTACAGTGTGAAAACGGTTGTCAGTGTGTTTCTGACAAACAGTTGTTTTAGCTTGCCATGTTTTTGGAATGTAGGACAAAGGGCTTTTAAAATACATTGATTGGTGCAAATTCAAGCAAAACACTACTTTTTAAATGAACCAATCAGTGTTGATTTTCTTGTATCTTAGGTTGTTCATTCAATTTTTAAGGGTTAAAAAAATCTCAAAACATTTTGTGTTTTTGATTATATAAATTCATTTGAATAGCCTTGTTGTCCAACTTAATCTAGTATAAACTTATATATATTAACTTTCTCCTTAGGTTCTGTTTTATCTGATTGGGCGGCGCTGGGAAGAGCCTGACCCTCCTCTTCCATCTCTTCTGCCATGTGTCAGAGCCTTGGCCATCCGTGACATCAGTGAAGCAGCACCTTCAGCAGGCTGCCGTCTCATGGGACCATCTGGCATCTGTGTTGTCCGTCTGGAGATTCCACCAGCTTGGTTTACACCATCACAAGTGAGAAGAAGACCTCTTGACGTGACACTACCACCAGTGGAAGTCTATTACTCAATTATACCAACGGACGTAGCAGGCCAAGACTGTCCCTCCATTGTTAATGAGCCTTGGAAAGCTCAGAGCGGAAATGTTGGGCCTCTTGGAGGCCTTGGCATGGGTCTTGGAGGACAGTGGAACCCCTTAGAGGATGGAGGCCTTCAGGACATGCTGAAAGCTGGTTCTGTGGAGATGAGCATGGGCCCAGTTTCTGCCAAAGGAGAAAAATTGCGGTTGGACGAAATTGTGGAGGTTCTTGTGCCACCCAGTCCAGTTCGACTTGGCAAGACAGTAGCATTTGGCATCTACATGAGGACAGATTCGAACACAGAGCAATTTACATTGAGGTAGGACAAAACTTTTATTAAAATTACTGGCTTCTTTTAGAAAATTCTACGTTTTTATCTAGTTATTATTTTCCCGTATATTTCTGGCTATTAGCATATTATTTTATCCCAATATGCTTTATATATATATA